AAGCAATTCCATTTTTTCTCAGACCTTTTCCATGGTTTCTTATTTACCCTATTCGACCCCAAATAGAATTGTTTCTATTAAACTAAATCGGATACGTCTGAGAATTTCGGTACTTGTGTTTACGCGCCGTTGATACAAGAAATCGAGCCCGAAATCTCTTTTCTAACGGGCCGAGGATTCCATCCTATCCACTAATGGCGATGCATTAGAGGTCGAAAGAGATTCTTTTCCCTTTTAACTGCATCCTTTTGCGGTTTTAATGGAAAAAAGGTAAATTTTAACTTGTTCTGTGGGAGTGGTTAATTTTAAAGAAAAATAAATCGATATAACTCGCAGGAATACGTTTTAAAACTTTTAACGGCTCCCTAAATAATTATTTGTATATATCACTTTTATAATATTAAGGGTTTTTTTGAGCCATTCGAATAAACAATTATGATATAAAAAGTTATATCTTTGTTAAAAGTTAAAATTATTGTTTTAATTTACTGCAAATAGTATTTTCGCGGCCTTTGTACACTTATTTAAGACTCACCTTTTATACAGGGTGTCCCAGAAATAAGTGCAAGTATTTTATGTGTAAGAAATGGGGTGGGTGGTAGATCTCGATAAAATAAACATATTCTTTAAAATAAATCATTTCTTTCTTGTAAATTTAATCTAATACCTATGTTGCCATATTACCAAGAAATTATGTTTATTAACTAAAAACTAAAATAATTTCAATTTTTTTTTCAAAAAATTGCGAGAAAAACCTCATAGGCGTGTTTCTGGGGTCGAACTATACTACTAGTTAAAATACTTGCACTTATTTCTGGGACACCCTGTACAGTGTGTCCCATTTTGGTTGAAATCATAGGGTATCTCCGTTATTAGTGAAGATAGAAGGGTGCGGTTTGCACAAACCTGTCCCACTTTTTCGTCAATAGTTATGAGGGGGAATGCAGGGGCGGATACAGGAATTTATTTTAGGGGGGGGGGGCAAAATAAAAAGCAATGTAGAATATGCTTTTTAGGGCGCCATTTTTAACCCAAAAGCCTAATATTTTACAAAATTCACAGACTTTAGGGGGAGCCCGGGCCCCATGGGCCCTCCCCCTGTATCCGCCACTGGGGGAATGTTCTCCATCTTGCTGAAAGTATATTTCACGTAAATTAGCTAAAGGAATATCTAAAATTTCCGATACGATAGATTATTCTTACGTATACACGTATTCCAAGATTTACAAATAGCGGTAGAGAGTTAAGTTTCCCTAATATATAAAGAATTTATTAGCGGCTCCCAAAATAAAACAAGAGACAGATAGCAGTATACTTTTAATAATTCTTTAGTTTCTTTTATTATCAATCATGGCCTACTAATAAATATGATATTTTAAAAAAACTGCAATATATTGCAGTAAATAGTGAAAATAAATATAGGGTGATATATATTTTTGAGAAGCTTATGGCAAGACAGATCATATGATTTATAAGTATACAGGGTGTTCCATTTAAAAAAACATAACTTTAGTTCATATGTTCAAAAATATTTTTTTGGTAGAAAAACAGACTACGCGACTGTAGTCTACGTAAAAAGTTCTACAATAAACAGTTTTCACCTTCTCGATAGCTTTAACAGTAACAGAGATACAGGAGGTGTCCCAAATTGCAAAACTTTCAAAAAGACCCTGTAGCTCGGAAACGAAGAGGGCTATGAAAATTTGTTTACGGTATCTTCCGTTTGACAAAAAAGTGAGACAGGTTTGTGCAAACCGCACCCTTCTATCTTCACTAATAACCGAGATACCGTATGATTTCAACCAAAATGGGACACCCTGTACATTGACAAATGAAATTTTTTATCATACAATTATGTCTTCTTTCTTTGAAATTTCAGTTGCAGTTGCAGTAAATTACTTAAAATAATATATATTAAAATATTTTCTATGTAGAATGTGCCCTTAGTAAAAATATACTAATATGCAATAAACGCAACTTTCGTCCAATAAACCGATTTAAAAATTTTGACCACCTTGTATATCATAGTTTTCGCCCTTGTATTTAGCTATTATCAAATCTTAAAATCTACAAAAAAGACAAATCACGCTAGTACCGATACCTACAAACTCACACTACGTATTTAAGTAATTATGTTTGTATAATTATTCTATTCAGTACAATAATTGCAAAATCGAATATAATTTCTTCGTTTTTCTTTCGAAGAAAATGTGCAAAATGAAACGATCTGTTAGCATAATTTACAAATTAGTATTCTTTAAAAAGCACCTGTCTGGAGCAAATTTGCGTTAACTTGAAGAATTTAGCATTTGCATGAAATAAAATTCAACGCGCCCACATTTATTTTTAAGAAAATTAGTTCTGTTAAATGTGGAACTAATAAAATTGTAAATTCACATAACAATTTTTGGTGTAACTACCTACTGTCTTATACACTGTAAATTGTATGGGAAGGGGGGGAAAATTAAAAAAATACCAAAACTTTTTCAAAAAATACAATTTTTTCAATTTTTTCTTCGCAAAAAAAACTCATCTCTGGGATCAAAATACACAACACCTACAAATATTCGCACTTATCTAGAACAAACCCTGTATATTTTTGTTGCCTAATAAATGTGGTATTTTATTAAAAAATAAGAAAAATAATATAAATAATAATCAAAGGCTTTGTATCGTGGAGTGGGTGATGTTGATGATGATCACGACGTCATGACGTAATATTCACAATCCTACTGCGATACAAAGCGAAACAAATATGGCGAGAAAAATGGTGGCATTGACACCGGATTATAATAGAAAATATTTGCTGTCTGTTGAAAGGTTCAAGTTGTAAGGTTACGCATTGTGAGAAAAACTCTCAAACGCTTGAATGGCGGTGTGGTATATTAGTTTTGATGGTAGTTCGTCTTGTGTCGATTACAATCAGTTACAGAGTGGTCTTATCTCAATCATGATCAATAATTCATCAGGTAATCTACCATGATCAATAAAAGCAGCAATAGCCTATACTTCAGAACGTAAAACTATCTCTACTAGAGACACAACTAGAGACTAGAGTAAACGTCAATAAACAATAATAATATGATTTTTGAGAGACAGTGACATTACATAAATAATAATAGTATATTAAACAACGAGTTTTGAAAACGAAGTTTTGCATACGAGTTCGACAGTTTGTTGGCTCTAGCCGCAGGCAAGTCGAACGAGTGTACAAAGAAGTTTTCGAACGAGTTTTTTACGCTATTCTTTCTACGACCTACAAATTAGCAGCAGACTCACTCAGTTTTTGCCAGTTTTGTGAAATAATTTGCGATTTAATGATGACACTTTTCTGACGGCTGCGTTGCGTTTGGCGTTTCAGCGAAACATTGGAGGTTAAAAATGTTTAAATTGGCACATATCGTGTGCAAAATGACACATGTCGTGCGCTAAATCCTTAGTACACAATAGTTTGCAAAACGCCAATTTCAGATCGAGTTTTCCGTGTGTCAATCTGCTTTTTCTAGGCTAGTCGTAGAAAAACACTATTTTATAAGTATGTTGATGAGAACCCAAAATGCTAAAATTGCTGTAAATCGTTACTGTCTTATTCAAAAGCGAATATCTCCAATAAAAATAAAGCTATTGAGATGAATAAAAAAACAAACTATTAAGAAAAAACGTACCTAGATGATAAAATGATTTTTAAATTCCTTACTTTGTTAACCTATTGCTCAGGGTGTTTCAAACTTTCACCAAATTATCAACATTTTGTTTTCCCTCGTATAATTGATAGATGAAAAGGTTCATTTTTAATTTAGAAAGAGGCACTAAAAAGTCAAATAATATAAGTACGAATTGCTTAAAAAATCATCAAAATCGGCCCACCAGAACAAAATATATTAAACTTTAAAATACATGAAAATTTTAAGGTGCCTGTTTTTCGTACCGGGCGGTGGGTGTATGAACAAAAACAGAAACACAGAAGATATAGAGAATAAATGACAACAACTGTCAAATCGATTGACATAATTCCCAATTATTCCGTCAATGGGCGCGTTCAGGGAACACAGCGGCTGACATTCAGCGTAGAATTTCGCTGACCAGCAGCTTAACGATATTCCCTAAACGACACAAAGCAGCAGAAAGAACAAGAAAAAGTACCTCATGCGCTCTCTGTCTGCTATAAAAATTTGAGAGAAATATAAATAAATCGTCTTCGTCAAATCGGTCTATAATCGATCGAATAAAAATTATTTTGAAAAAAAAATTATTACTTGCTGATCATTTAATAAATGAAAATATTTGACAATACAATATTAAACATTGAATTTCTAAAAAATAACAGTTTATAAATAATTTTACTTATACACCTAAACAAAACAACTTAAAATAAAAGGAACTGGCACCTTTTACGCATTTTTTTTTTCGATGGTATGGTACAAATAAAATTACTGAAAGTCTAAATACCTTACAATAAAAAAAAACGTCAGGGGTGATGTGGAGGTAAAGATTGCTGTTATTTTATTAAACTTAAAATACTGCTCTGTAACTTTTTTGACAACAAATATCTCCTATTTTTTAAGGATTCGATTAACTACGATTAACTATAAACTTTAACAAACCATAAAAAGTAAACAATAAACTGAAAAAATTAAAGTTATTTTACATTAGCTGACCACAGATAAGGAAATAGATTAAGGCTGACTTGTCTCAGCCTAAATGTTTACCGCTGAGAATTTTGCACAGCGGCTGACTGTTGCTGTTCGTCAGAACAGACCGTTTAAGGAAATCGCTTACTCAGCCACTCAGCCGCTGACCGTCCCTGAACACGCCCAATGAGTCATTCGTACCACAAAATTGAAAAAAAAAATCTTACTGCATTTAACTTCACTGTTAGGTAGTACGATGTTTAGCCGGGTCAGCAAGTACTAATATAAGATTTCACCAAACTTGCTTATATAATTTTCAAAAAAATTCTTAATTTTTTTCAGATGTTCTTCATAATTATCACCGCCAGTACTCACCCCCACCTCACCGAACTATGATATGATCTCACCAATCACGGCTTTAGTCACTCCATTGGTCTTGAACGTCAGTACCATCGTCAGCGACTACAACGCCACCACAGCCAACTACAACTATCTTTACACAGCCGTTACCGCTGACGTCACCAACTCCAATGCGACATCTTACGGTACCAATGGAAGTTATAACGGAAGTATGGAGTACGGCAGCCCAGTGTTTCCTAATTATATTAGGACTACATCAATGGTAAATATTAAGAGTCCATTTCACTAGCCTGAAAAAGTAGCAAAATAAGCGTTCGGCATTTAACGTTTTATGTCAAACTGGCTAGGTATTTTTACACAATTGAAGAAGGAAATTAAAGATAAAGGATTATACTATATCGATATTGTAGCACATTTTTAGACAACTTCCTTATTCTTAAGATTTTGATGGTCAAACCTCAACAAAATATTTCTTATGTTTGGACTAAATTTTCTCGAAACTAAAGACAATTTAAAATTCCGTTACAATACGGAAATAGATTGAAGTTTTGTGATTACAGTGATATATAATTTATATGGTTTTCTAACAAATTGCTCGCTATTTTATGGCAAATGCTGAAGCTCTGCAAACCTTAATCAAGCCTTAATCAAAGCACGTGTGTATAGAATTTTAGATGTGGCTTAACACGACAGGATCGGTCTAAGCCTTAGGCAGATTTCTGAAATACAATATATATTTCCTTCGGCCACACACCCGCTTTACCCGACCCCTGAGAGCGATCCGAAGAACAGGGTGGCTCGAATTCGACGCTCATCATTGGGTTTTCAGAAACCGTAAGAAATACAGGATCGGTTAAATGGAGGCAAAGTTGCGCAATTTGATACTCAACAAAATGCCGTATTGCATTTTGAAAAATTCCGAATACTTCCGAATATATTCGAAAAAAAAACGGAATTTTCAATTTTGTTTTCTATTGTTACCTGGCTTTATTTGTTAAGATGACTTAAAATGAAAAATTGTGATTATTAAACTGTGTGATTAAATACTGACTCTGACGTTTCGGCTTCTGTCGACCATCATCAACTTATTTTTTTTAATACGGACTTGATTTTTTTTTCAATTTAATTAAATCCTTTCATCACTCTTAAAACACTATACAGGGTGGTTCGAACTGTATTCCGAAAACTTCGGCAACATATTCTGCAGATAAAAATAAGTAAAAAAAGTTCTTATAAATGTATTTCCTAAAATGCTTAGTGTCGGAGACACAGGGTGTAGAAGTTTCATTTTTATTTCGATTTTTTCCAAATAATTTCCGAAGTAACGTCAATACTTGGATGAAAATTGTTGTCTGGGAGTTTTTTGACATGAGAAATTTGATTTCGATGTCAATATGGCTCCTACTTGTAGAGGGTGCCACTTATATATTTTTTAACTGGTTTGAAGAGTAATAATTGTTTGTCCTTACCTGTATAAAACTAGCTAGTTAAAAAATATTCATTTACGATGATTTTTACGTAAAAAAGGTCTCTTGGTAAAAATCGCTACGGCTAAAATCATAAATTTGCAATGTTTCTGAGCCAAAAGTTAAACAGAAACTGTTTTATCATCATTTTTTCGAAGAAAATTTATGATTAGTTTAAAAAAATAGAAAGTTCCCAAATTTCTCATTTTAGTCAAATAACAATCTGCTCAACGTGTTTATTTATAGTAAATAATGACATGTATTGACTATTTCCACTGTAAATATCTTGAGAACGGTTGCTCGTAACGATTTTTACAAAGAGATATTTTTTATGTAAAAAGTGTTGGAAATGTATATTTTTTTCGCTCGGTAGTTTTATTCAGGTACGGACAAAAAGTTATTACTCTTCAAAGCAGTTAAAACACATGTAGGTTGCGCCCCCTACAAATAGGAGTCATTTTGACATTAAAATCAAATTTCTCATATCAAAAAACTCCCAGACATCAATTTTCATTCAAATATTGACGTTACTTCAGAAATTATTTGGAAAAAATCGAAATAAAAATGAAACTTCTACACCCTGTATCTTCAAAACTAAGCATTTTAGGAGATACATTTATATGAACTTTTTTACTTATTTTTATCAGTAAAATATGCTGCCGAAGTTTCCGGAATACAGTTCGGACCACCCTGTATATAGTCACTTTGATATTTGCCAACGTTTCGTACAGAAAATTCCATCACCAGAATATTTCATGCAAAAATAACAAAAAATGCAATACGGCATTTTGTTGAGCATCAAATTGCGCAACTTTGCCTCCATTTAACCGATCCTGTATCTCTTACGGTTTCCGAAATCCCAATGATGAACGTCGAATTCGAGCCACCCTGTACAGCGTAGTAGACTCTTAAGTGTATTTTCTAAGCACCTAATGTGAATATTTCTGGAGCTTACTCAAGCAGACTTCACAATAAAAATTTACCTCAAATATCCACATGCTTCGTATAATTTAAGATGCTTTTAAAAAATTAGTCAATTTTTATAGTAAATTTTATTTATTCATATTGATATTATTTTTCTATTTCAGGTGTTCTGCATAATAATAATGTGCCTCGGAGTGATCGGGAACGTGATGGTGCCGATAGTGATATTCAAAACGAAAGATATGCGAAACAGTACTAACATATTTCTAGTGAACCTTAGTGTGGCCGATCTTATGGTGCTGCTAGTGTGCACGCCGACGGTACTAGTCGAAGTGAACTCGAGACCGGAAACATGGGTACTAGGAAGAGAAATGTGTAAGTACCGTATTTTTATAGTTTCTACTGGCGTGTACCCGCCGTGTATCGCGTCGAATTAATAATTTGTAATGGTGATGATAAAGCAAAGCAAGAATTTCCATTAACATACAAACTGGACAAAATTTTCTCAGATTTATGTCAGCATGAGAAAAAATAATATGGCGATACTATTATATAACTTGGTAATATTTGAGGGGTAGTTTCATCTTGTTGGAATTTGACTTTCGAAAAATCCGTTTGCCAAAAATAAGCTTTTTACGTCAAGCAGTTTAAGCAGAATCGTGGTTAATCAATTACCTACCTAACTTTTTGGAACACCCTGTATGATTTTTTAAAAATTTCAAAATATGTAAAAAAACAAAATAAATTATGCGTGTCCAAGCGTTTTCCTGAAAGACAAACGGTTTTATAAATAACAAATATTGTAATATTTGAGGGACGTTTGGAATTTGAGGAATTGAAGGACTCTTGGCATTTGAGATTCGAGAAACCCTTCCTTATCGAACCTCTACACTCTCAAACGTAAATTTTTAAAAAACTTAAAATATGTAAAACAACAAAATAAAATATGCGTGTTTAAGGGTTTTTTCGGAAACTTGACCGTTTTTTAAATAAAAAAAAATATTGTAATATTTGAGGGGTGGTTTCACCCGCTTGGAACTGTAATTTCTAAAAATCCCTTCTTATCGAACCTCTACACCCTAGAATCAACCTGTATGCCAAAATTGAGCTTCTTACGTTGAGTGGTTTGAGCAGGATCGTGATTAATCAGTGAGTCAGTCACTTTTTCACAGGATTTTATATGTCACAGGGTTTTATATATTAGTATAGATTATTATTTATATTTTATAGAAATGAAAATGTAGAAAATTGAATTCTCTTAATTTTTTTTTATATTAAATTTTCTGTGGGACTTACGGCTCAGCCAGAAAATCGAATCCAAAATTTTTTTGAGTTGCTCAAAAACAGTGGGGTGGGGGGGTCAAGAACAGTAAACTGATAGGATTGCTCATCCTCATAAGACGTACGTTCGCCTCTTCCCGCGCTTCAGTTGACAGTTGTGACGTCATTGTAGTCCTTGTCATGATAGTGTTGCCTATGGTAAACTTATTAAAATAACAGCTGAGAAATTTTGAGTTAATTATTTTGTCAATTTTAAATGAGAAAAAGGTGTTTTTAAAGTTTTTAGAGCTATAGAGTGTATAAATACGGTCATTTTGTGTTGTGGATTGTAACAAAGTGCTTACTAAGTGCCTACGATATTGTTTATTAATTATTTTAAAGCAAAATATGGTACTCTAAAAGAATGCTTGCAAGAGGTGAGGCTGGGAACTGCTATTCTTAAAAATGCATTATCCGAATATTTAATACGATTTATACAGTTAACTTTCTATACTGCATACATATAAGGTGTTTAAATAAATAAACTAAATAATGAACGTTTTGCATCCGGCAACCAATAATGCACGTGTGTGTATTATTGGTTGCCGGATAAGGACTAATAACCATGACAAGGACTACAATGACGTCACAAAGCGAGGAGTTTTCGCATGCACCTGGCAGATACTTTTGGCTGAATGAGCAGTCCTATTAGGTTAACTGTTCTTGGAGTGGGGTGATACGAATTTTCGAATTTAAGCTTTTCCAGTGGACCACTTACGACTGGCAAAGTTAATCTGATGGGATTCTAGATCTTTTTTGATGCCAGATTGATTGTACTGTTACGTTTTTCATCGGTTCCGTGTGGATAGAAAGTCACAATTTATTTAAACACAATTTATTTACACTAATTAATAAACAATAACGATTAAAAACTTAAAGAACTATTTATAACTTATTTACAATTTATCTAACTATTTATCTAACAGAAATTTATTTTGAATTAGTGCGGCGATTGTAACTGTACGCGTCGATCGGTTGTTTTTCTCTATCCTCCTCAGGCCTCAGGCGTCTGCTTATATATGAGAGCGACAGACAATTCAGATTTGTCTCGACAATTCTTATTCGTTCTAGAACGTCGGCGTCGCTGGGCGTATGAGTCATAAGCGAGTGGCCAGGCTTAAGGCCGAGTTCACACGGTAGAGGTTCGCAACAGTACTAATGTCAGTTAAGATATATTGCAGGATACGAGTGGAAATTGTGTTTTTTAAATAAATAAATGCATTTGTACTCAAAATACATTCAATTTTGAGTATAAATGGTATGGAAATTTGTAAAAATACAAACTGGATTAACCATTTTAGACCAAGCAAAAACTTTTATGAAGAATGCATTTTTCTCAAAAAGTTAATAACAAAAAAATCCTCGTGTATAGACAATCTGGAGACATACTATATGTTGTTTTAATTAGTTATATTTCTGTACTAGCTTTAAACTGTCCACGTCTCACCCCATTTATCCCAACTCGATTTTATAATTTAGTAATTTCTCGAATTCCTGGCCACACATGAGCCGTCAATGCCTGTGTGATTGCTTTGGTATCGAGCCAATTTCTAAGACTTAAGAGATCTTAGAAGAGAAATCCTCATCAAATAAAGCGATTAGAGCGTTGACAGGCCGCGGCGAATAAGTAATACAGTCTCAGGATTCGATTTCGAAATGTCTATTTTGGAAATGGCACAGAAAACGGCATCAAAAACAACCGCTGCTGGATTAAAATCAGTAGCTATTCTAGTTTTGGTAGGAGTGATTATACAGGATGTCAAAAAATAGTGTATACTACCTAACTTCGGTAAGTATTTTTCATGCGTCCGTTATCCGTTGATACGATCGATGCGATGGTCCGATTGGTTATAGCGTTTTCATGCCACTTTTTATCTGTATTTTTTTACTCCAGCCCGTCAACGGAGAAAAATCGTACGATAACGGACGTTTTGACATATTTTTGATAAATTTAATCTATAATAATAATAATCTAACCTTAATAAAAATATAATAGTACAAGCGTACACCGTCGGGAAAACGAGAATTTTAAGAAAGCTCTCGAGAAAGCTGATTCTTTAATATATCTTTTGCTATGCTCTCCTGACCAAAGTGCGGGCCGTCTGGCTACCGGTAGACTTCTGCGCATCACATCTGTATCCCATTTATACACGAGTATCCCATTTTCGTGTGTTTTATGGTATTTCTCGTTTATGAGTAGAGATACAATGATACGATTTTCACATTACTTTGCTATTTTTTTATGAAACTAAATATGCTACACATAGGTCTGTCCTAGGCTCCTTAGTTCTGAAATACGGGGTGAATTTGTTATGCGCAGTAATGAACAGATGCTGAATACAGATATGATGCGCAGTAGTGAACGCAACGTCTACCGGCAGCCAGACGGTCCGCACTCTATTTAAGCATAGCAAAACATATATTAAAGAACCAGCTTTCTTAAAATTCTCTTTCTAAAACGTTGCTAACTTTTAGACTATAAGTAAAACAGCGAAATCGTTATGGAAATGAAAATATAAAACGACACCAATCACAAGCAAATCGTATATCCGATGAACGGAGGCATGAAAATGCAATAAATTTAAAAACTGCGTAATTTTCTAACCAATCGAAGTTTGAAATGAACCAATAAAATTAATACCGTATCATCGTATCGTCGAACAACGGATTATGCATGAAAATCAAGCTTAACTCTTAAAAAAAACCTCTTAAAAAACAGTAAATACCGGTAAACTGGCAATTCGATGTTTTAAATTACCAATTACTGGTAAATTGAAGTTGGTAAATTTGAAACCTCCAATTAAATTTGGGGGTTTACGTGCACATGTGCACTTATTGAGGAACCGCCACTAGCTATACACTACCTACAACTTTTTACCCAACATACTCTCTCGTTTGTGGACCGCTTTACACACACGTCGATTATCGACTTTTCTCTGTCAATTATTGACAGATGACGTCAGTAAACAACTCCTGCTTTGCGGACTCGCTGCGTAATGTTTTATTCATACTTAAAAGAATACTTAACTTACGTCTTCTTCAATCTAACGTTCTCGGTAAGTACATTTATAGAGGAATAAAATAAATGTCATTTGATAGAATACTTTAGAAAATATCCTAAAATAGATAGTGGATACGCGGAAAACAACTGTAAAATTGTAAAAAAACTAAACAACAATTTAACCAAAGACATTAAAAAGATAGACCGAATTCATAATTTGATACAAATAATAATCTTTAATTTGACAAAAGTTTGGTTTGGAGTTGGTCACACACTCCACTAACTGGACCAGAACCGTTCTATTTTCTAAGCGGGAACCAACTGAAAGCGGAACTGAAGAATCTGGAAGACTCCATCCGTAACTTGAAATGGGTGTCCTCCAACGGTCTAAGACACTCGAAAAAGTTCCTCAGAACTTATGACTGAGAAAAATTAAAGATTTTCCTTGATTTAAGTAAAAAAAAATCTTCGGATTGTCACGGGGTTTCAAACAGGACACTGTCTCCTTAACGAACACCTCAGTAGGCTGAAGCTGAGAAACAACGGCGAATGCAGATTCTCTGGGGAAAATGGGGAAACACCAGAACACCTTATCACTGAGTGCGCCGAGACGACGACCATTCGTGTCATGAACTTTGGTACGGCTGATGTCGAGGACAGAGAGCTGGCCTCTATGGTGCCGTCTCAGATACTGGCTTTTGTTAAAGCCCTGAGACAGTATAATGAATTATTACTCGTTATAACTCAAGAAAGGGGAACACACAATAAATCTGTAAGGTCGCGGTGATTAACTCCCCTCCTAAACATTCTACATTCTACAAGAGTTTGACAAGTTTTAAAACTCTTGAGTCGAGTTCATACGCATATGCATCCGTACGTCGTTCATCGTTCCGTCACTCCAATAAAATTGAAATATGATCTGTCATATTTAAAATAAACTAATAAGACTGTATTGTAAAATGTATAGCTGGACTCAAAATTGACGATCGGGGTACATATTGACAAAATTGTTGTTAAAGCGCAGAAGACGATATCGGCATTGACTATAGTCTCA